AGCCCCGTCCCAATATTCCCCTTCAGCAGATGGATCAGGGTCTGGTACCACCTGAGGGAGAGCAGATGCAGAGATCACTGTCAGCAGGTGCCCACACCCAAACCATACACAGCTTATCCTGTTTAGGGTGCACAGCAGCTCTGAACTGCTGCAGGGAATGCACATGGAAGCCATGCTCCTGTCCCCTGAACCCACCTCAACCAGCTGGGACTGAGTTAGGTGTGAAAGCAAAGACAGAACAGATTTTGGATGGGCATTTGCAAAACCAACTTCATGGCAAAACCCAGCACAAGCATAGCCCAGCACCAAGGAGCTGCACAAGGAAGTCTCGGAGGTGAAGGGATCAGTCTCTGTCAGGCAAAGACAGCATCCTCTGCACACCTGGGCACAAGGAAGCCCCCAGAACATGGCTGGCTCTGAATGTGGGCATGCTGTTTGCTTGACAGAATGAAGGTGGAATGTGAAACTATTCGGAAAAGCATCAATCACTGCCCACTGCCAGCAAGCCCAGCTTCACCAGAGAGCAAAGAGCTACACCGGGGCAGCTGCTCACTTGGTGCCAGCACCCCACAGATGCAGGACCACAACTCTGCCCTCATCACCCTCATGAGAACTCCCCATAAAACCACAGTTCCACCATCCTCTAGCAAAGTCAGCAGGGAGCCAGCACGAACTCTTCCACCCTTCCCAGTCCCAGGCCAGCCCAGGAAGGAGGGAAGCATCACTCACGTTGTCCCATTGGTCTCCCCGAAGCGCTGGTAGGACTCGGGGTGGGCGAAGCCATTCATGCCGTCGGGAGGGCTCCCCTCTGGTGTGACATCCGTGGAACTGTAGTCATTGTAGTCCTCGCTGCGGAGGCGCCGGGTGGACATGGTCCCTGTGGGGGCAGTGGCATTAGGGGTGCCCAGCTCAACAGCCCCATCCTCAGGCTTCTTGGGGTCAGCCATTGTGCACAGAGAGCGGCTCACACTGCCAGAGCAAGATCTCCTCCAGGGCTTTTATACAGCCACATGCTCCCGCCCCAGCAATCACACAGTTGGCATGTCCTAAGGTCAAAGGTGCATGGCACATTCCCACTGGCTCTTCCTTCAGGATCGTGCCCATGTTTTGGGCACACCCAGACAGAACAGGGTCAGGATCCTGCAGCAGAGCTGGATGTGACCCAATTCGTGTCAGGCACGGGAGCTGCGTACCCCTGCTCTAAGGGTGGCGAGTGTGACACCACAGGCAGTGGGGTAGGAGGGGACATGCTGGCACTGTGTCCCCTGCTCTGGCACTCGGGACTAGGGCTGTCAAGTGGATGGGCCAGGAAAGTGTAACTGCTTTTAACTTGCACACAGTGTGCTGCAAGGGAACAGCTTGCTCTTGCCAGGGAAGGGAAAGTTTCCTAACTTCTCTTTTTTTTTCTTTTCCCTTTTTTTTTTTTTTTTTCCTTATTGAAGACTTTTTATTAAGGAGAATTTTTACAAAAATTTATTATACTCCTATCGAGAGGAGCACAGACCATGTGCTGACAGCGAAACACCTGCCCCAAAGGTTTCACAGCCAAGGAGGGGAAAAGGGGCTTCCCAGGATAAGGCACCTGCACAGACTGGAGCTCTTGCTCCAACAGAAACTCCAACAGTGTCCAGCAAGCCAGGAGCACCAGCACAAGCCTCACCAAGGACACACACCTCATGCTTTTGTCTGGAAAACAATCAGCTGGTTCAATTCCCACACATGCCACACCCAGTATCCCGAACACCCACTGGGAAGGAGCACCAGAGGCAGGGAAATTATGTGTAAGGCTCTTGCACCACAGACTGGTGACCCAGTCCCTGCCCCACGGCTCCTCTGGGCTGTCATGCCCCAGGTTTCACACCTGCCCCAGCAGTCCTGGTGCTCCCCCATCCGACTCCCCAACACTGGTAAAGAACTGGGAGCAAGAGGAAGCAGCAGAGAAATGTTACTACTGCAAAAAACTGTCTCGTATCCTGCCACAGCTCTTCATGAACCCACCAAGTCATGCAAGTGCCTGCCAGATGCAACCCCAGCACAGACCAACACATCTGGCTGTGCCAGGAATGCTCAGTCCGGGCCACCCAGGTGCTTCTTCAGAGCGCCAGGCATTCCCCAGAGCACTGCTCAGCAAACCTGGCTGCTACATGGAAAACAAGCCAAGAGCTGCCACCACTGGGAGGGTCCAGCCTGGCGATCAGAAGGGTAGCAGAGAACAAGGGTTTTTCCTCAGGTCTGGATGCTCCAGATCCCACCTGCTCTGGAGCAGTTATCCAGGCCACAACAGCAGTGCTGTATTTCCCACTGCACCAGGCAACACCAGCAGCAGGAAGCAGCAGTGTGTCCCGTGGAGCACCAGGCTCTGAAGCAGCAGTGAGGCCGGCTGGCTGGCTGGCAGGCACTCCAGAGCCAAAGGCAGCACATGCATCACTCCTGCCCAGCCTCCTCCCTCACAGCTGGGACACGTAATCATGTCCTGAACCGGCTCTGCCGCAGGCAGGGTGATCCGGCGAGGCAGGGACCGGGAAGAGCGGCAGCAGGAGTTTACACAAGGAAAGCGTTAGAAGCTATTTGTCATCGGTGACAGGCCCAAGGGGCAGGACAGAAACCTGGGAGACTCTGCCAAACACCATGGGCTGGCAGAGGGCAAGGAGAGTGGGCACAGGGGGTGCAGGACTGGCTCAGGCATGGGTACCCTTCCCAAAGATGGCCCGCACAGCATCCAAAGTACCCAAGAGCAGCGACTTCGAGATAAACACAACATGCTGACATCACTCTGCCTGATCGCTCCCTGTGGATTTTTTTTCCCTTTCAAGCAGGCCTGTCTGCTTTCTGCTTTGAAGAGCCAGGGAAATGCATTCATCGTGACTTGCCTGCCTTGTGTCTGGATTAAAGGTTGCGTAGCAGCAGGGAGCAAGCACTCTGCTCTCCCGCAACCAACAAGGAAAAGCTGCAAAACTCGTCTCATCCATATGACAAACACTTAAAACCAAAGCAAAACCCCACTACACAATTTCCTCATCATTGGAAACAGCAAATGCAGCAACATCTACATTCAGTTCCCACTTCAAATCCAACTCCTCAGCCACTTTCATGTGCTTTTTTTGCCACCCACACACAGAAGCAATTTCATCCTATAAGGAAAGCTGGGGGGATAGTGACAGCAATTTGTCCCTTACAGCGACAGCCCCATGCCAGAAATCAAAAGCAAGCTGTTACTTGCTGCTGACCGTGACAGCTCTCCCCAGCTGAGCTGGGGCTGTGTGTAGATCAGGAAATCTTCCAGAAAAGTGAGCTTCACTGCTGCTTCCCACTATGTGCGTTGAATCGTTCATTTCCAAAGCACTACTTTTAATAACCCACCTCAGCGTGACACAAGGGAGAGCCAACAACGAGCCCCTTCCCCAGGCCACCATGTCCATGCCAGCCCGACACCTCCCAATGACAGCATCAGTGCTCTTGTCCCTGTGCTGCCCAGTGCTCCCACAGCTCCAGAGAACCCCCAGATTCACCTTTCCAATGTTTCACAGCACAGCCTGGTGCCCACAACCCAGCTTCTCCCCACAGAGAGAGCTGCTGGGCACACACCCACCAGTGCCCACAGCTCCCACCCAGCCAGGCTGTGCTGCCCAGCTCCCCTTGTCCCTCCACAGAGCAGGACAGCTGAAACCTGCAGAGTGTGGGGCTCCCTGCACCCTCCCGGTGCCACAGAGCATCCCGCACCCTTCCCAGCGCCTCACATCGGGGCTGTGGCCCCACACTGCACGGCACGGCCGGACACTCCCAGAGGAGCCCCACGGGGTGCCAGCCTTCCTGCGGGGCATCGCCAGCACGCCCATGTCAGCCTCCAGCACCCATGTCAGCTGCCAGGACCCCCAGGCCCTGAGCAGCCGCCCATGCACAGGGGCTGCCAACGCGGCCCCGGAGCCCCGGGTCCCGTCAGCGCGCCCAGGCTGCCCCGAGCACCCACGCGGGACGGCGGCACTGCCGGCCCTCCGCCGCCCCGCACCGCCCGGCCCCGCCGGGCCCGCTCGCTCGGACGCCCCGTCACGTGACCGCGGCTCAGCTGAGCGCGGCGCGTGCGCGCGGGGAGCGCTGAGGGCGAGGGGCGGGGCCGGGAGGGGCCGGGCGCGGCGCGGCGGCTCCCCCTGGCGGCGGGCGGGTGCCGAGGCCGCTGAGGGGAAGGGCAGCGGCGCCGAGCCCCGAAACCCCGAAGGGCGGCGGGGACGGGAACGGGGCTGGGCAGCGGTCTGGAGCAGAGTGCTGTGGGGAAACTGAGCTTGTTCGGCCTGGAGGAGGCTCGGGGGTGGCTTTATCGCTCTCTACAACTCCCTGAAGGGAGGGTGGAGCCATGTGGCGTCGGGCTCTGCTCCCAGGCAACCTGCGACATGACAAGAGGACAAGGTGCTAAGCTCCAGGGAATGTTTAGGTTGGACTTTAGGAAGGCTTTCTTCACAGAGAGAGTGATTAGACTGCCCAGGGAGATGGTGGAGTCACCATCCCTGGAGGTGTTTAAGGAAAGACTGGACGTGGCACTCAGCACCGTGGTGGAGGGGACATGGTGGTGCTCAGCCATGGGCTGGACGCTCAGAGCGAGGTCATGATCACAGAGATCTTCAAGCTCATTGATTCTGTGCTTCCACGATGCCTCCAGCAGGGCAGTTCCTTGGGGCAAGGCCTGCAAGCCATGCAGGTGTCAGGGTTATAGAAGGTCACCCAGATGAGCGACACCCTCAAAGCCCCTCAGCATGAGCTGTGTCCCCCTGGGCCATGGCTGTGTCCCTGTGTCCCCACATCACAAAGCAGCGCCTGCAGATCCCTGCAGATCCTCACACAGGAACTGGCCTCGGGGCTGCTCAGCTCCACTGGCCACAGCATCCTCCTCTGCTGCCCCCACCACACCACCTCCGCTTCCCCCAGCTCACACCCACATCCACACTATTCCCAGCAAAATAAATGTCACCTCCAGGTCACCCCCAGCAACAAGAGGCACCAGCTCCACGTCCTGGTAAAAAGATTTATTAAGAACATGCAGAACCTGCCCAAAAGGAGGTTGCTGCCCTGGCACTGAAGGGGAGCAGGGGCAGAGGGTTAGTGCTTCTCCAGGCAAAGCCACGGGGTGAAACAAAGCGAGTGGAGGGCACAGAAAGGCAGTGGGAGCACATCTGCGCGGTGGAGGAACACCCGCAGCAGTTAAGGCATATAAAGTGCTTGTAGAAGACCAGCCCTATCGAGGGGCTACATAACACAAGCAGGCAGGGACAGCAAGGGATGTGGGTGGCTGGTGGCACCTGGCACAGGGGAGTGATGACAGCCTCACACCCTGCTCAAAGCTTTTGCAAGAAGGATGCTGCCTGCCCACATGACAGTCCCTAGCCACAGTCAGGACACCCCCAAATGGGATCTACGCTGCTGGTCCTCATGGTCATCTCCCAGTTATCCCACGTTCAGGATGCTGCTGTGTTTGGGTGCCTCTGCCAGCATACGGGAAGGATAGTCCCTGTGCAGCATCCTGCCTCGGCTCACTCCCAGAGGAAAAATGAGATGAATGTGACTGGTCCTCAGCCAGGCTGTGCCCCAGCAGCTCATCACAGCCTTGTGTCCCCCTCTGGAATGAGCACAGCCATCAACCAGCAACCTCTTCTGCTGCTGGGAGCATCACCAGCCTCTTGGTCCCCTCTAAGTGGGAATGTCCATGTGGGGCTTGGGTGGTTTCTATCCTCTTGTGTTCCTGTTTGCCACAGGAGGAGAGGGAGGCACCTTCTCAGGTGCCTCATGCCACCAAGCTGGTTCCCCATGCAGGACAAGGATACAGCAACAGCAGATCCAAAGCTGCTGTGTGGGGACAGGTCTCCTGCAGCCACTTTGGGGACACTTCTGCAAAACAGCCCTTTGCTCTGGCCAGAGATGGTGGGAAGCAGGAACACCCTTTGCAACTAGTGCTGCATCCCTCTAGCCTACCCCAGCACTCCCAAACACTCCCTCATCCCCACGGACTGCTCCAAGAAATACTGCTTTTCCCTGGAATGTTTTTGTCTAAAATTGCCCTGATAAGAAAAAAAAAAAAAAAAAAAAAAAAAAAAAAAGAAACTGGATAAAAAATAACAACCCAAGGTCATGCTGGAGTTAGGCTCCAAGGCCACCCTGTCCAGGCAGGAGACACCCTGGTGACGGGTTTGGGGACAGCAGAACAGCCAAAGGGGCCTCTCTGGGTGTAGCAGGGGAGGAGATGCTGGGGGGGGACAGGGGCTGCCTCCTCCTGACAGCAGGAGGGATGGACCTCACAGGGATGGGTTGGGACAAGGTGGGAGGGGACAGGGGACCAAGCTGGAGGGGATAGGAGGGACGGTGTCCCACCCCTCAGTGGGAGTGCAGGGAGAAGGCCAGTTTGACACAGCTGAGCTCCTCCCCGCCATTGCTGACCACCACCCGGACGCGGTAGTTGCCGTTGGTCATCCAGGAAGGGAGCTCCACATCGGGCACGTCAAAATCGCTGGCTGGCAGGGAGTAGGAGCCCTATGGAGAGAGGGGACAGACAAGCAGGAGGTCAACCAAAAGGCCAGCCCAGCACCAAAGGGCACATCGGTACCCACTGGCAGTGCCAGCGTCACCGCGGGGCGCGGCCGTACCGCTTTGAAGGGGCAGTGGCAGGGGATGCCGTAGGTCAGCAGGGGCTCCGGGCAGGGCGTGCCAGGTGGGATGAGTTCATCCAGAATGTTGCAGACGTCGTTGTAGGTGCAGCTGCCCAGCTGGTCGATGCAGGGCAGCTGGATCCAGAGGTCACCCAGTGCCTTCTCTACCACCAGCGCTGCCTGGAGGGAAGGTGTTCAGCACCAGCACAACCAGCAGGGGCACCCACAGCTCCTCACCAGCCAATTCCCTCAGCTCCTGATCATGCAATCTTTGGGATGTCCATGAGGTCACTAAACCCCCTCCTCCCTCTCCCTCCTGGCTTTCGGCTCTTCTCAACCTGCAGCTTCTGTTCCTCCAACCTCAGTTTGACCCCTTAAGCTAATACCTCTCAACACCTCACATCCCCACCTCCTTCCCCTCTCTTCTGCCTGTCCCAAAACTCCCAGGGCACTCCCATCCTGCAGCTCTGGCTCCTCACCCACCCCCACCCCCCACCCCCCCGCAGCACTCACCCCAGAGTCCCAGGCCCAAACAGACACCATAGCATTGCTCAACACAGCCCATGCACACTGGACAAGAGACATGTTCTCTCGCATTCCAAAAAACGTCCCAAAAAGTGTTCCAGGGCAGCTGGCATGGCCCAAGGCTCACAGAGCACTGCTGTGGCATGTCCTTGGAGGGAGCAGCTGAGTTGGCTGCTGAAAAACAAGTGCTGCAGTGACCTCCAGAAGCACCCACAGCACTTGGGTTTCATTTCCCTCCTGAAGCCAATACATCCCCAGGACATGAAACAACTCAGGTGGTTTCTGTCCTAGGCACAAGGTTGAGAGGCTTCTACTGAACTGTCTGCTCCCACCACAGGTCTCCCCATGCCCACTGCCCTGTTCTGGCTTACAGAGCCCAGTGTGCTCAGCCCTACACCTCTCTCTCCAAGGGCTGCTCATTCCTGTACCCATGAGAGGCATTTCCCAGCTGCCAGTGGTTTGAGGAAGCTCTGCCCTCCGTCACCACACAGAGGCACATCTGGCACTTACCTTCAGAGGGGAGCCCATGGTCTTGCCACTCTTGACAGCTGCGCTGACACGCAGGCTCCCTGGGATGCTGATGGGGTCGGGTGCCACAGAGAGGCTCTGCAGCACCACAGGGTCCTTCTTGTCACCACAGTTCTCCCAGGCAAAGCCACCAACCTGCAGCACAGAGGGACAGGAGGAGTTAGAGGCAGGGCAAGCCCTGCCTTGTGTTTGCAGGAGGTTTATCCACAGCTGCACCTCTGACCCCTGCCAAACCTCTGCTCACAAAGAGACAGAAAATGACCTTCAGCCCCTTCAAATGCCAGTTCTTGAACTCCCAGCTCTCTGAGACTGAGGACATTGCAGAAACCCTCTGTCTATGTGCCTCTACATGTACTTTACACCCAAAGATGATTACCGGGCTGCAATTTCCAAACTTGTCTCCCAACACTTCACATGTGACCAAGGCAAGATCCATCCTTCATGCCAACGGCACCAAGCAAGGTGTGTGAGGACAAGTCAGAGCAAACTGGGACCAGGTGGTGTCTGCACTGTCCAGTGGGATGCTGGTCAGGGTGGGGGGGATCCCCTTGGAGGGGCTGTGGGGTTGGCACTGCCTCCCACCTCATCCTCCAGCTCCAGCCACCTAGTTCCACATAGGAACAGGAATCACACTCAGGGACCAGATGAGTGTCTGAGCTCATCCTCTGCCTGATACACCCCAGGGGTCTGATCCTGAGCTACAATGAGTACAAACGAGCCAGAGAAGCAGCATTGCCTATGGAATAATGAAAATCCACATGTAAGGAGATGTCACCCAAATGAGTGACATCATTTATGTGTCCTGTCTGAGTTAAGAGTCATGCTGGGGCATCTCCCCTGTTTCTTACAAATCACACCAACCTCTCCAGCCACCACCAGTAAAGACACTTCGATTCAAAGGTGGAGGGCTAGCAGCACTTGTCTGCAACAGCCACCTCTGAGCCTGCCAGAGGCAAATGGCAGAGACCAGCCCCAGCTCCCTCCCCGAGCAGGTTTGGCCGGAGCATCCCGTGTCCCCATGGCATGACGTGGGGCTCTCCCTGCCTGCTCGCAGCCGCAGAACCGGTGGAGGCTGTATTGCTTGGTGCCACGCGGCAGCCCCAGCGGGCACAGCGCAGCCCACGCAGCCGAGCAGCCCATCCCACATCCCGCTCGCCCGCCGGGAGCAGCCCAGGGCAGGACACAGGGCTCAGGACAAGCCGGGACAAGGGAAGGCTGCACCCCCGACACTGAGCAAGAGCTGGGAGCCCCCAGCCCGAGAGTCTGCAGGCAAAGAGGCTCCAGCGAGCTGAGCATCAGTGTGTTGCTGCAGAATGCTGCCCGCCGAGCCCCCTGCAGCCTTCCCAACCTGTTCCCCCTTCCCTCAGGCAAGCGCAGCTTTCCTGGAAAATAAATTGCGATATTTCCCTTCACACCGCGTGAGAGTTACACGTGGTAATCGGCTGTGTCTTAATCAGCGGGTGTTAATGAGCCCGACCCAGAACTCCGTGGGAATAGGGAAGAAGAACCTGGGCTGGAAAAGACTCATGGAGCAGCAACATGAGAGCCGGGATACGATCAGCCGAAGGACGAGGCCGCTGTGTTTCTGCGTTGCGAAGTGTTTGTAAACACTGGATTCCTCCTGCTCCGAGCTGCCCCAATCTCCAGCACTGCTCCCCAGCGCGGGGGGCTGCGGGGCTCCAGGGGGTCCATGGACCCCACTCCCCTGCCCAACCACAAACACGCACCCACCAGCGATCTTCCACCCTGACGGGATAGGAAAAGCTCCTGGTCTCCTGCAATCCCAGCTGGATGACGGAGTCTTCCCCCTCTCCGCCCCGCCGAGTCCCCCCGGCAGCCCCCTCCGTGCCCGAGAGGTGCGGGGTGCGGGTGCGGGTCCCTGCTCACCTTGCTGAGCCGCCGGGCCCCGCTGCGCTCCACCAGCAGCTGCGGCTGCGGCCCGGCGAGCGCGGCCGGGACGAGCTGCAGCGCGCACAGCGCCAGCGCCAGCCCCGCGCACAGCATCCTCCGGGAATGCGCCGGGAACGGTCCGGGATGCGGCCGGGGAGCTGCTCCGAGCGGTGGGGAGGCGAGCAGAGAGCAGGGACCTCCGTGGGACCGGGCTGGCAGCGGCCGGTCTATGAAGCCCCGAGCAGAGGGGATGAGCCCTCTCTTGGAGCCCGGCCCACCGCCCGATTCCCCTCCCTCCCCCGAGGACGCTCACATTGTCCCTTCCCCTTTTGCTTTCTTTTTTTTCCCCTCCCTTCCCCGGTTTCGCTGCCAAGCGCAGGACTGGACTCGCAGGGATGCTGGGACGGGAAGCGCCGCTTTCCCAAGCTCCCAGAACTGGCACTTGGAGCGAGGGGGCGGGAGCTGCACCCACCACCCCAGGGCACACAGATCACCCCGCTGCGATGGGGGAAGCACGACCATCTCCCCACTACCCACCCGTCCACCCAGGGCTGCGGCTGTCCTCACATCCCACTCGGGGGTGCCCTGGCTGTGGGAGGGTCGGTACCCTCTGGTCAGTACCCGGGACCCCCACGCTCCCCCCGCGCCCGGAACAGGTCAGGTGGCAGCTGAAGAGCAGAGATATTTGAGATATTTCAGATATTTGAGACCCTCCAACCCCATGTGTATGAGCAGGGGGGAGGGGACGCTGGCATCGGGTAGCCCCTGACTGGGCAGTTTGCCACAGTACCCTTACCACCCGTCTATGTAAAATGCTGGATTTATCATCCCCTCTTCCATTCCTACCCACTGTTTGCAGATAATTTTCCAGACAGAGCTGTCCCAGACACCCCCATCATACTGGAATGGTCACACGGGTACCCCTCCATCAGGAGTGGCACAGTAGCATGGATTTTCCCATATATTTTGGTGGACAGATGCTTTTATCCTGCAAAGGGTTCTGAGCCAGCTGAACACACAGGACACAAGTGTGGCAGGTCTCACGCCTTCCCCCCTGCCACAGCACGGTCAGGAGCCACTTAGGAGACCCTTCCCCACAGTCAGCTCTGCTCTCCCTTGCACACGGACACTGCTTGGCCTCCCCATATTGCTCCCAGCCCTGGGAAGGGTTGCCTGGCTTGTCCAAACCCCCATCTCAGCTCTATTTTTAGCCTTTCGTCCTTATTTAGCAGCGAGGCCGGGCGGCAGTGTGCAGGCAGGGCGTGGGAGCAGGCAGGGGACGTGGTGGATGCTGCTGCCCACCCCGAGCCGGCAGCGACAACTGTGCCGCCGATCCACTGCCGAGGCTTAGGGGTGAGGAATAAATAGCCTGTTCCTCCCAGCCGGGAACGGAGCGGAAAGTTATCCCCTGGGATTAGCTTTCACTTTGAGGCCCTGGAGCAGCCGGAGGACAGGGATAAGGATAGGGATGCATGGGGAGAGGCACAGAAGGAGCATTGTGTCTGGGGCTGGGAGGGGAGCAGAGCCCCTCACCTCGAACCCGGGCATCGCATGCTTTTCTGCTTCTCACAGCCATTGTGAGTGAAGGTTTCACTTCCCTATTCACGTCCTTTTCCACTTCATTTTGCCATGGGGAAAAAAAGAGGATAAAAGACTACGAGAACAGGTTAACCCACATCTTTTTGCTTGGAAAAGCACAGGCAGGGACAGGAATGACTTGAAATTGCTGCACTACCTCAAGGCAGAATCATGTGTGACCTAAATCCCCACTAAAAGAGCCTGTGACTTTTTTTGAGCTCCAACACGTATGAGAACTTCTCCAATTCAAACAGTTTTTTCAGCTATCTCACCCATGCAAAATTGAGTGCAAGTCACGAGGTCTCAGCAGACCTGGCTAAACACCTCGGATTTGCATTGAAGAAAAGCTGCCAGCACTCCATTACCTCTCATTTACAAAAGCAAACAGATTGCAAATGATGAGCAGGGTGTAACCACGACCACTCTCTGTCCACTGCTTGGGCTGAAGCTCTACCAGGACCCATCAGGCATCACCACAGGCCAGCTCATCACCCAAAAACCTTCCAGCAAAACATCCTCCACCTCTTTTTTTTTCCTTTTTTCCAGACTAGGTTTCTGAAAATAAGATATACAAACAAGGATAAAAAAAAAGGAATTACCCCATCTGCACTCACAGAACCACTCTGCAAACAGACCATGCCGGGCTGGCACTAACTCTGCCTTGTACCCATCCTGTTGTGCCCAGTCCTTACCAGCTAGAACCAGATACAGAGCCACAAGAGACACTTAAACAGTTTGCACAGATGCTTTTCTTATCCATAAGCTTTGGCAAACACTTTAAATGACCATTGGTACAAATTAACTTGACTTTCCAGCTGTTATCCCATTTACGGCAATTCAGCCGAGCATGTGATAAAGCCTCCTCGTCTCACTTTTCTAGACAAAACCCTGGAGATGTCTCCAGCTGCTGTCATTCCTGGGGAGAGATCAAGATAACACCAAGAAAAGACATTAGAGCAAACTTCAAAACAAGCTGAAGCTGCCTCAGGTGGGGGCACAACACCACCTCTGCTTTCCTGTCTTTGCCTGGGCAGACATCCCCTCGCTCCCACAGTCCCCTTTTTCTCCAGGCCCTTGTGCTCCGCAGATCCCTGGGGTGCTCTGGTTACCCCTATGATGCCAGGGAAAGGCCCTGCTTTGCTCAAAAGCAGCTGAACAGAGCAGTTTCTGGCTGTTTAAGTGCTGCCCTGAAAAGGGAGCAAGTTTTCAGTGTATTGGGGCAGAGGAGGATAAAGCAGAGCTGAGATGAAAGACCTGTATGGCAGGCACACATCCCATGCAGTTTCCACAGGAAAGATTGGAGAAACTGAGGAATTGCTAAATCAAGCTAGAATAAGAGAGGTTTGGGGTAGCACAGACAGGACTTTTGGCAGGCAGCCTCACAGATGCACCCACAGGCTGAAGGAAGGATGTAACATGGTCTGGGCAGCCGTGTCTCCAAAAGGCAGCGATCTCTAGAAGCACAGGGCTGTCACACAGAACCTGCAGCAGGGGCTGGGGATGGGGGTGCTGGAGCTGGCCTTGCTGCACAGGCCCATCCCCAAGCCCCTGCTCTGCCCTGCTGGCTCAATGCCTTAGCCTGATGTGACCAAACTTTTTTCTCCATCATTGTCAAGAGAAATCCTACCTGGAGCCCCTCTTTGTGGCACCGGGGTGCCCCCAAGCACCCCCTTAGCACTTCACAGTTAAAAGCTGAAATTTCCACAAGCACATGTGCAACTACTGGACCTTTGTGCACCAGCAAGACGTGATGGCAGCTGGACAGACTCCTCATCAGCTGCCCACACAGTTGCTCCTCTTTGCAGCCAGGGCCCCAGCCATGCAAATTCAGCCTGGAAATCTGCATGTGCTTTGTGGTTGCCCCTGTAGGCCTTCAGTCTCTGAAGTCTGGACCGGGATTTTCCATTAACCCTGGAGAGGTGGAGACCAGCACCTTGCGCTTTTATCCCACAAACGATCTACTCAGCCCAAATAAGTACTCTCATGCAGGGAAGGAGACTTGCCCCACTCAGAAGTGCTGGGAGAGATAAGAACTGAGACGCTCTCGGTGGTTTCTGAGCAGTGGGAGCAGATGCCAGAAGCTTCTGTGACTCACAAAATTTCACTCAGGTTAAGCAGCACCCACCCAAGAGGACGCAGGCAACTGGTCCCACCAGTCCCCGGGAGACTTGGGGCAGCATGGGCCTGCCCCTCGCCTTCCCCACCCTCCCATCCAAGTGGTGTTTCACAATTTCCCCTGTGCCAGGGTTACCAGGGCAAGAAAAACACCTCCAAGTCGAACGTGACAGGACGACCAGGCACCTCCACTCCCTCGCTGCCCAGGCGAAATGCCAAGGTGTTGGCATCCCCAGAGCCGCAGGCTGCTTGGACTTCTCCCAGGGGATATTTGGAAAATGTCAGAATAGAAACTTGTTGACAAAAAACTTGCAATGTTTCCATACAGGCACAGCCTCGTGACCAGGTTCAAACACTCCTATTTCAGCAGTTTGGGGTAGCACCAATGCGTTTTCAGGTCAAAATGTGTGGTCATTCAGGAATGTATAAAAATATAATTATAAAAAGGCATTTTAAACAATCATCAAAATGAAAAAAATTGAAGAACCTGCCTTTCCTCACTTTATTTTTTAGATGGGACGTTTTCAAATCTGTGTTTCCCTACGTGTTCAGGACCCACTTCCAAAGTGTAGGATTTCCTCCTGGAAAAGGGCACACTGGCTCCAGGCCCAGCATTTGGGGTGTTTGGGATGCTCAGGAGAACAGTTGACAGGATGCAGTCCCTCAGGCAGTATGGAACACATCAAAAGCCCTCTCCAGCCAGCACAACGACCCCCAGAGCAGAGCTCTTGCCAGGAGTAACACCCCAAACCCACCACTTCTCCACAAGTTCCCCCACACAAGCTGAAACTTGATGGGGTAATGGCAAAAGCCAGATGGATTCTGCTTTCTCACTCTCATCCCTGCTCCTAAGGGGGCTGGGGTGGGTTCAGCAGACGAAGCCCCCTGAGCAGCTGGTCCTGCTCCTGCCCTAGCCCTGGTGCAGGGCTCCTGTTCCTGTTTCTCCTCACCCAGGAGAGGACACCTCCAAAGCAGGGGCGCTGCTCTCCTTACCCCACACCCACAACAGAGCATCCTCAGTGCAGGGGGCCCGTGGGACAGAGCATTCCCGAAGCACCCCGGCCCAGGGCGGGGACACCCCGGGGTGGAGGGGGCCCAGGGCCAGCCCCGGGGGCGGGCAGGCTGCGGCCGGGGGCCCTGCCCGCGGCTCGGGGGTGCAGAGCACCCTCTCCCGGCGCTGCCTGTCAGCAGCTGCCGGACGTTTTTATTACTTTTTTTTTTTAATTATTTTTTTTTCTGCCTGCCAGCTGGGGCGGCTCATCCCGTCCTGTCCCGTCCCTGAGCGGTGCCGCTCGCCGCGGGATGCCGCGCCCCGCGCCCCGCGGCTGAGCGGGTCCCGCCGGGGCTCCATGGGCTGCACCGGCAGCGCCCTGCGCTGCTGCCCCGTCGGTGCCGAGGTAGCGGCTGCGGGGGCTTTGGGGCTGGGCCGGGCTGGGCTTGGGCTGGGCTTCGCTCGGAGTCGGGGTTCGCGTGGGGTCGGGGCTCCGTGGGGTCGGGCTCTCGTGGGAGCGAGTGCACAAGTTGCCGCGGTTCGATGGAGTTGGGGTTCGCGTGGGGCTGATGTTTGCGGGGAGTCCTGCTTGCACTGCTGGGAACGAGGGGTG